GCTTTCTGCTGCTTCCAATGAAATGACCATAGCTTCTGCCTCTTCCAGCATCAATCCTTCCTTCGTCAGCAGCTGTTTGTGCAGGCTGTTCGAGCGTACGCCTCAAATAATGTGATCCTTTAACATTCTGTCGAATGCACTACCAAAATTGCAGTTGTCCGCTATGCACAGTATGTCGACGAGGAACACTTGAATTGACTCCCCTTCCTGTTGGCAGTGCGTAAAAAACTTGTACCTCTCTGCTGTTTCGTGTCGCTTGGGGTCATAGTAGCTAATTAGGGCTGCAACTGTTTCGGCATACTTGAGCGAACTGGGGGTTTTAGGTGCGATTCGACCAGCCAGCACTTGAACTGTCTGCATGCAAATAGCAGCCATCAGCAGCGCGCGTTGCTTCTTCGAGTCGGTAATGTCATTGGTTTCAAAATATGCTTCTGCCCTTAAAAGGTATGGTTTCCACTTATCTGTTGTATCGTCGAAGAGGGGTAGCTGAAAACTAGCCATGCTTCTCCTTGGTGCTTCTCGTAGCGGTAGTCTAGTTGTGCCGCTGTGTTGGGCTACTTTCACCACATGGCCGATATCTGTGACACTCGTCGCCACTGAAGTAACCTACTGCAACAGGCAGCCGCAGCATGAACGACACACTAGCTGGTGGTGGAACAGTGTTTATTGATAGCACCGCAGCAGTATATATAGTGCAGGGGTGAAGGGGTTAGGGCAAGGGAACATGACGATATCTCTGATATGAGCGTTCGTAACAGAAGAGTGTGCACGAACGTGCGTGCACACAGCTAGCTTGGCTGGTTGGCAGCAACGAACACAAAAAAAAACCTAACATTCGTTCCCTCTTAATTTAGAACCGTTGTCTGTTTCCGAATTCGTCTCGATTGCCAATTTTAATTAAGATGCCTATTTAATTAAGTAGCAAAGTTAGTTAGATGTTGTATTTGCCCGATTTTAAGTAGACTCGAATGTAGGTCAACCTCCGAAAATGGCATGGCATAAAAAAAAGAAGAGCACGAGTACACTTTAAAAAAATTTTTTTTAACACATCGTTAAGCCATTGATGTGTGAAGGTGGCTTCACGGCAGTACTTCAAAGCTCTAAAGAAAAGCTAGCTTTGTAGAAATACACGGAGATTATTTTTACAAAAACTTCACAGCCGAAACTGGTTTTCTATTCTAGGATGACCCCCCAACATTGGATTGTCAAATTTATCATGACCCCCAACATTGGATTGTCAAATTTGAAAAATTTGTCGACCTACAATCATGTAACTACGGTATAATTGGTGCCAAAGCGTTAGAAATAAATGAAAAATTAAGATCATGTTGCTAATTGCCAATTGCAAAGTTATTAAGGATAGCGCTGGACTACTTTTACACATGCGTTTGGTCATATGGAGTGATTACAAGATTCTTTTTTGTTGTTGATTGTCTTTTGTTCTCTTAAATTCCGTGCCCGATGTCACTGTACCAAGTTGTTTTGTTTTGTTTTTTTCAAATGCACTGCTTAATTTCAGTCTGATCCCAAGCATGTGCATGGCAGCCTCCTGTGGTGGCCTTGTTGGCTGTGCAATTAATCAGCCAGTGGCCTTGAATCTTCATATGTGGCACATTCATTTAGATGTATGGCATTATTTATAGAAAAAAAGAAGGAATAATTTCTAGCTTACTTTAAAAGTAATTGCAAATTGCAGGCCACATGCTGTGCTATTATGTTTGGCTTGTGTGTTCTCAAATGCCTTGGCTATCGATCGGCAGGGTTTGCTGACCATGCTGAAAAAGTGTTGCAGTGCTCCTTTTAAAGAGGTTGGACGCAATAGACATCACCTGTTAACACTGAGATTAAGGGTAGATTGTGCTGTTGAAGCAACAACAATACAGTGCACAATAACCTCTGTGTAGGATGACTTCACACAGCAAGGTTTGTTCATTGACTTGCTGAGCACTCTTTCTACAATTCTCAGCTGCATGGAAGTCATCACTGGCACGGTTGTGCACGACGTAACAACAGGCATGTGCAAATATCAGAGCATTTTGCATACTCAAAGGAATACTGCGGTATTCAAATTCTCTTCAATAAGAACTTAAATTATTAGTAATTAATAAGTATTTTAAGTGAACAGACTATCATATATTGAACTGCATGTAATCTCTGGTTAAGGTGGTTTCACGGCAGCTTAGGAGTACTGTGCTGTGAAAATATCTATACAGGGGAAATGCACACTGCTGCGAAACTTCATTTCAAAGTTAAATGAACATATTACTCTCGCATTCATATATAATTTTTTAGCTTAAAAGCTTGTTATTTGGGATTATATGGTATAAGGATAGTGGTTTTTAAAACCTAAATCTATTTTACCCATCATCACTCGCATCCTTCTAAAATTCAAATTCTGCTGAAAGTTGCTTCCACTTCACTTCGAATCAAAAAGAATGACATTCGCTCATGCCTTGTATCAGTTTTAAAAATATTGTACAGATTTGTTTGGTGAAGATAAATATGCTCATTTTTCTTCATAACATGTGATATAAACTATTCGAACGACAGTATAACCTTATTACAACAGACCTTCATAGTGAAGAGGATTTAGGTCTGTTGTAAACGGAGTACTTAAAATCCAAGTACTGTTACAACCGACTTTTATGGAAACACTGAATGGGTCTGTTTTAACCGAAGAGAATCACGAGCACTGACGTACCAACTCTTTCGCGAGTGGGGGGCAAGCCTGCCTCACTTGTCAGCTGGGATATGTGTGTATATATATATATAAGGAAAATGAGCAAAGCTGCAATATCGGCAAAATTTCACTATGTAACATAGCCTCATAACAATTCTATTCTCCCGTAGGAACATAATTGAGTAATTACTGTTGTGGTGGAAAGCTACACCTTACTTGTTCGTTTCCACAGCGTGCAGCCAAGAGTGACCACTGTCAAAAGTGGGGAGGCTCAGCCCCCCATCTTTTCTCAGTGGGAGTTCTTGTGCCCCCCTTGCCCCCCTAGCTGATACGCCTATGATCATGAGTCATATACAAATTTATTTTCAATGGGGCATAAAAAAGTAGATTTTTTTGGAAATCATTCTGCAGTGTCTGTAGCCCTTTTTCTATCCGATTTCAAGATATCTTCACCGAAAACCACGTAGAAGTGCTGTAGATGTTTTTTGCATGTGCCGAGGTGTGAAAATCATTGTAGAAGTCACAAAAAAAAAAGAACAGAGTTTTCAAAAATATATAGCTTTCTGACGACATAACTGCCCACCACCATTTTGATCTTGTCGTAAAAGCATTTTGTAAAGAGCATTCTGTATTCAAAAAGCAAATGTTTGGAATTCATTCGGAGGATTCGGATTGGCGGTTTCTGCCGTATTGCTTCAGTTTGCCTTGCTAGTTCGATGCTCGTTCCAGATACGCCTCCGAAATAGCGTTGTCGGCTTCTTGTGCATCGCGAGGTTGCTGCTGTCTAAAACCGCACTACTTAGTCACAATTTCACACTCGCTCTTTGTTCATGGGTTATTAAGGCAGCTATAAGCAGAAGTTCAGCCTTCAGATTAGGATTGCGTGCTGTACTTGCCGCGAACTTCGCACATGCGCATATTGAACCGATTTTCATAGCGTTGACTCGTTGGAAAGAAGGTTCTGCTTATCAGCACTTTGAACCTTGTGACAAAGACCACCGCGGGACGAAAAGGTGAAGAGGCAGTATCATAAAATTTTTTTAGACTACTGTGCAAACACCACTGGGATATGTTTCAAGGCTGGATAGCGAAAATGGGCTACAGACCGGCTAGTGCTTACGATAAAGCTGATCCGTGGCACAAAGATAGATTGGCACTTGAAGTTGCTTCATGCGGCTTGAACAAATGTGACTGCCAGCACCATTGCCAACTGCTTGTGATGTGCACCATTTGTGGTGGCCTGCAAAAGCAGCCAGGGCACAGGCGAGTCAAATGAACCAGTAGCCACAGCTGATAATACCACCACATCAGAAGAAGCTGGCATCATAGAAGGTGCTCAGTGGTGGTGCTGTTGTGATTCAATGTGAAACCATCTGTGATTGTGCAAATGTGGATGCTGATGTTGTGGCAACAGAGAAGCTATATGAACACAACTTTGTGCGTGGTGCTGCCCGGGCGCATGGAGGATGCGATGACATATGTGTCAAGGAAGATGACACTCCACCATTTGCAAACAACCTGACATTCTTCTGAGCACTGGACATGGTGGACCTCTTGTTCCACTACTTCAATGGGCCCCACCGCGGTGGTCTAGTGGCTAAGGTACTCGGCTGCTGACCCGCAGGTCGCGGGATTGAATCCCGGCTACGGCGGCTGCATTTCCGACGGAGGCGGAAATGTTGTAGGCCCGTGTGCTCAGATTTGGGTGCACATCAAAGAACCCCAGGTGGCTGAAATTTCCGGAGCCCTCCACTACAGCGTCTCTCATAATCATAAGATGGTTTTGGGACGTTAAACCCCACATATCAAATCAATCCTTACTTCAATGGGCTCGAAGACAGCGAAAATGGCTTTGAGATAGCAGCTGCTGCTGAAAAGGCCATCCTTCCGTTAAGGAAGATGTAGCAGCGAAGCTTCGCAGGGTTTTTCACGACATCTATATGAAGGCCTACATGACTAGAGTCAAGCACTGCAACATCGCGGTTTCTGTGTTTGACAGAGATTCTTGCTGTTTTTCGATTAGCATTTTATCAGGGATGCAGCTGCCGAGGTGCGATGAGAGCTAATACCTCCATGACGGCTTACTATGGTAGTACACCCTAGCATACAATAATTATTCATATATAGTTGGTTAATAGCTATGATAAACTAATCACTATAACTATAAAATATTATGCCTGTTACTTGGTTATAATGAGACCTAATTATATGACTGTAATACTCAAGAATATTGAACTAGGCATGGCTTCTTACGTACGAAGTGGTTTAATATGTGCTGGAAGACTAAAGTAAACAGTAACTTTGAGGTCTTTCCTTGTAGGCCTGCAAGACAACTTTGAAGAAGCTGGGGCCATTGCTCGGATCTGAAGAAGTCAACAACATGTTCCAGAGGCATTTGCCTGATGGTTCTCATCTCCACTACTCTGAGTTTATTAGCGACCTTACAAAAGTCATGGTGCGTCTTGATTACTTTTCTTTTATTGATGTTGTTTATGTCGTGCATACAGTGCGCTTTCGTTAATTTGTCAAAAGTTACCGTATGTTGCCAATTATAAGTCAACTTGCACTGCCCTTTTTCGCGAAAAAAAAAATGGACTCCGAACTCACCCTCAAGTGTTGCATCCTGTCTGCTTTATTTACTTTGGCCATTGTCCTTTTTGTGCTGAATGGTCATTTCTGAACCCTAATTAGAAATTTGAGGTGTCAGGGCACTGCAGCATGTAGAGCAGCATCGCGTGATACATGAGCATTTTAGACTTGTATAGTTGTAGTGCAATGCAAACGAAGCCTTGTACACTAGGTTGATTATAATTTTTACTTGACTTTCTAATACTGTTTGTGATTCAGTATCATTTTTGGCCTGATTTATTAGTATGCTGTTTTTGATGCTGCAGGTGATTGATCTTGAAGAGCACATGTCCACATTTGTTACATTATGTCTTGGCCACATGAAGAGCCTTAACCCAACTATTCAATGTAACGCGGTATTGCTCTTAGGTGAGTATATTCACATTCTATATTTCTATTCGTATGCTGTCATTAGCTCAGCAGTGGATCTTTGTGGCAATATTGTTTGCCACCACTTTTGTCCTTCGCAGCTATTGCACACAATAAGAAAAGGAAAAAGAAAAGCAAGGATTCGAGCGGTATCAAATCTAGGCATTCTGCCTGGTAGTCAAGTACTCTACCACAAAGCCTTGGTGCTTGAAACAGCCTTCAGAAAAAAAAACCTTATATGGGCATCATTTAAGGAGTGAAATCATGGCAGATGTGGTATTTCGTGGTGAAAAAGTACATTTACATCAAATGTCATACCATATGAATTGTATAACAAGAGGGTGGTTAGAGCTTCCCACCTATTACAAAGAGCTCATTCGTAATTCATTGTCAGCATCATTAGCCACAGTGACTACAAAATGTGAAGCTATGTCCATGCTCATCTTGCCAATGGGATACTTGCATCATTGCCCTGGTAATTATTCACAAGCAATGTGTGAATGATTACCATGGCTGTGATTTACATTAACTCTCCTACTAATGTTAACATATCATAACTATTGCTGAAGTAAGTATAGAACAACTATTTTTGTTGAATTGCGCACGGTTATGATTCCAGATTATTGTGTTATGGTGATTTACATTGTAACTGTACTATTTTAGGAAAAAATCTTGTTTCGCAAAAGACATAAAATATATTGTATCTTAAATGCCACACATCATACTTGAAAAAAAAATTGCATACCTAAAATTGGCTCACAAATATGCACAAACTGAGCAAGATTTATCAACATATGTATCAAGAATTGAAAAAAAGAGCAGTGTCCCTCACCCCCTTTGAATATTTTTTGTTTATTTGGAGTTTTATCTGTCAGTCTATATCTCTGCAAGTATCTTAAATGTAGTTTTTTTTTTGCACTGTAGCTCTTGCACAGTGGAAATCTTCGTATGGTCATCATCATCTTCTGTACTGAGTTTGCTCAGTCAGTTTCATTTAACATGATAGCGTTAAAGAGCTAATTTTGCATGAATTCTGGCTTCTGTGTCGGTGTTGGTTTTGGCGTCATTGGTTGTGAGTGAAAATTATCTTGTTGGTTGTGAGCGAACATAAAATAAATAATAAAAAATTTTGGGTCCGAGTGAGGATTGAACCCAGGCTGTTTGCGTGGCAAGCAGGTGTTCTAGCACATAGCCATGCATCTCCTTGACAATACAGTAAAAATAACTTTCTTTCTTGGAAATGCAGTAAAAATAACTTTCACGTTTTACAAACACATGCGTCCTATGTACAGTAGGCTTGTAGAAATAGTGAATCTTAGGTATGAAGTGAATATGAAGCGAATAGGAATTTTTGTCGAATAATTTTGAATAGAATTCAAATAGTATACATCACATAGTATCATTAAGAAAACGGACATTTTTGTCATGGCCTAACTAACCTGCACGATATCTTTTAAAAATTGAAACAAGGCCTCAGCAAAGGCCATTTGTTTTGTTTCAAAGGAAGTGGAAACAACTCTCAACAAAAGCAAGCTTTGACTTATGGTAGAATGCAAGCGATAACCTAAATGTTACATTTTAATAAAATGTACTATACTTAGAACATAGTTTCAATTGTATGTTGTTACTTGAAAAGTTTCAATTGTGGATTGTTACAATGTAATTCATAAAGTTGAGAGTGGCTTTTAAAGTTGAAAATGATCGATGCGAGGGTAATAGTATGTTCATTTAGTCTTGAAGTGGGGCTTTGTGGCTATACAGATTTTCTCTGGACAGGTTTTTTTTTTGGTTCAGCACCCCTTTACTGCAGTGAAGTTACCTTTACAAGGTGTGACATAAGGATTAATAAACATTTATTCGTTCATTTAGAATACTTCAAAATTTTCAAACACTTAAATTAGAATCGAATCAAACTCAAATACAGTGATATTCATTTGAATGTTCGAAACATTCGAATATTCACACAAGCCTAGAACACTGGAAGTTTGATTATACGGCCCCCAGTTTTGCGACGACCTACATTTTACGACGAATCCGTTTGGTCCTGGCAAAATCATCATCGAAATAACGTATTAAAAACCTTGATTATACAACAAAGTTTTATGGCGACCCCACATCTCACGACGACTTACAAATTCTGCCCGAAAGGGAAAACCACATTTACTCAAATCAGATGTTGACCAAGTAAGTAATAATGAGTGCAAAATATGAACTTGCGTTCTCCTAGGTTGACAATTAGACAGGTAGAGAGTGAGAAAGGATGTCCTCTTAGAACGGAAAACTTAACCTCCCAGAAGTTTGTGTGCTTCTACATATGCCTCGATCGTGCGCGTACATATCCGGGGTCGTTCTCTAGTCAAGTTTTATTCACACAGAGTAGCTTCAGCTGGTTGTAGTAGCTTCAGCTGCTCGTTCTCACGAGCAGGCACTTTTCGGACTCTGTTTATCAGTAGGAAGGTGTGCGTTGAATTCATTTTTTTAAAGATAAGAATAGAAATTCGCTCGCACCTCCTCCAACTATGTCATGCTGTCAGTAGCTGTCACTGGCAAGAATAATTTAATCTATTTTCTTTGCAGAGGCCCAAGGCCGTGCCATGGGCTTATTTAGACTGTCTGTATCCATTTTTCTGGCAAGGCTGAGTGTCACTGACTATAAGGCTTCATAATACAGCATGTAATATCGCAGTAATATTGCATGGTTTGAACATACATTGCCGTAAGACATCAGAACACGTAATTTTCATAGCTTAAAGCTGGCCACCTATTACAAAAGACACACATGTTACTGCGCATATTCTTTTAAGACAGACCACGTACTGGGTGCATAGTAAGTTCAAAAACATTTCACGTGCATAATTGCTGATACAGTCGAGCCCGTTATAACGAACCTGAGCCTGATGCGGCATTCATTCGCTGTATCTTGAAGTTCGTAGTAAATGAAACGCAGCTTTTAAAAAGTTGCGAATGAAAACACAAAATTTTTTGCCCAAAGAAAGTCCGTGATGCACGTGTTCTGAAAAGCAGAAGCAATAAAGGCGGTCTCAAGTTTATTTCAAACGGCAGTGTGCTCTTGGCCGAGGCTCGTGGCATAAGCTCCATGAGGCACTGGCTGCAAAGTTTCCTCGTTCTCGCTATCCAATTCCTCCAAATCGCTCTTTCCATGTACTTAATTCACAATGCTCTCATCCATGCACGGTTCCGCGGTGTCGGCATCATCATCTGCCGTAATGAAACTATCGCAGCAGATGTCCCACCCGCTCTCTCATGTCGGAGTCGACGACACGCTGCCACAAATCGCCGCTGGAGTGGTCCTGTTGGGAAGCTTCAGGCTTGGCATCGGGCCAACGTCAACAAAGTCGGCATCGCAAAAACAGTTTCGCGCGCATGTAGCCGTCATCGCCCATGAAATATTCACCATCTCCACAGCTGAATATCGGGACGCCTGAAGTGGCAAGTTGGCTGCCAGGTTGTCAACAGCTATGAGCAAGCGCTCCGCAACAGGGCACCTAAAGCGAGGATTACGCCCAAGCCTAGAGGTGACACTTTCGACGTTTTGTTGAGCGGCAGGAAACAGTGTGGAAGGCCTCCCGTCCTCCATCCTGACCACACACTCACTCCAAGGGCGAGCGAGACGCGTGGAACAGCTGTGGGCCTGTTTGTAGCCAGAAAACAAAACTTCTGAATTCGAGCCAGGGTGGCTGGCGTGGCGGAGAGGTGGAGACGAGCAAAGGAGTTGTGATCAAGAGAGGAGAGCAGACTTGCGAGAGAAGGGCAAGGAGTTGCAATAGAGTGAAGAGAAGGGAGGATACGGCGGGAAGGCGACTTTCAAAACCAAAACACACAAGAAGGAGGCAGGTCGGGTAGCTTTCTTGAAAGGTCTGCGAAACGTGCAACTCGAGCGTAGAAAAACTTGAAAAAGTGCCTGAGCGCGCAGAGGTCACATATCGTTTTGTTGCGCCAGCGGGTTTGCGGGGCTTCACAGATTTAGATATTTCACGATTCATTCCGCGCAAATTAACAGCCGTTTGTACGCTTCCGCACGCGTGTGAAGGGCAAGCTGAGTGGAGTGTGAAGTGAGTGAGAACAAGTCTTAAGCACGAAACGAATCGCGAATGTCAGAGTTGGCGGGGTAGCCTACGCGCTTGCACTAGAACGATACGATAAGACAAGACGCAGACGATCAGATACAGTCGGTGGCCAACAATGTTAGTAAATGGTCTGGTCACTCCAGGCCAGCGATGCCAACCACAGTACCAGCAATCAAAAACTGAGAGGAAATGGCCGACCGGTCTTCAAAAGATCGATGGCAGTGTGAACACACGGGCCTCGTCTGGCAATGCGAGATGCTCAGAGCAGCGGGGTGGGACTAAGGACAGTGGGGTGCTTAACAAAAAGCAGAGGGGTGCGGAGGCAGGGTCGGCATTTAACAATAAGAATCTATGGGCACCTCGCCGATGCCTGATCGGTGGTCGAAAGTGGTTTCCCGAGAAGTCGGCACAGTGTCGACCCCATTCGCTGTATCCGATCAGTGGCGCACGGAGACATTCGTTGTAAGTGCGATTTTGTGCCATTGACACACTGTACATTTTCACGGTCACGTGGATATTGTTCAAGTGGGGCTATTATAAGTGGGCTCGACTGTACATTAAAGTATGCTACCTATTACATAGATTGCAGCCATATGAGAAAGCCTCACTGACACAAGCCATTTTCAACTTTATCGATTATATTGTAGTAATCAACAATTTGAACTTCTCGTGTAATATCACATAATGAACAAAATGCACTAAGGGGTTGAAGTACGCACTAGGGTCAGGATATCGCTATCACGTTCAACTCTTAAAGGCCAAGCTTAAGGGTCCCCCAATTTGTACAGCTCATCTGCTTTGTTTTTTTTTCGTACATTTGAGTAATAACACAACTTTTTCGTGTTTTTACACATTTTGTGTTTTTACACATTACTTTATAAATATGTACAGTACTTTGCTCTTGGCACATGTTTTGACATGTGTGTAGTAGGTATTTGTAGTTCATATATAGAGGCCTCACTTTACTTGTTGTTGTTGTTGGTGCGGTGGTGCGCAGCATCATTATTTTTTGTGATATGAAATTTGACCGTTTACTTATCTGAAAAGCTCGCGCTTTCTTTGGTAAGACTGCCATTCCGCTTGATTGCCCCATTGTCTTGCACGTTTCAAGGCTGTCTCCTGGGAAATGCACGTCCGGAGCTTCGTAAGGACCTTCCATGTGAGCGTGCATGCTCGGCACTCGTCTTGCTGCTCAAGGCTGAGCTGCCTGAACAGCGCTGCAGAGCTGCAGAAGCGCTGAGCCTCCTCCATGGTTGCTGAAGAAGTTTGGCTGCCTGTCAACTAGCTGCTATGGCTTCTTGCCATTGAAAGCAAAGGAATGTGTGCCTCAAAGGCTTTTTTCACATGTTTCGCTCTTAGTCTTAGAGTCTTCCCCACTGGAGCCTTGATTATAACTGCCAAGTCACAGGCATTGTAAACAGCATTGGGTGGGGTCCACTCTTTGCCATATCTTGTTGGTTGCAGTTGCTCTTGACGATCACATATACGCTTTTTTGTTTTTATTTTGCAGCATGCTGTTAAAGGCATGCGATGTTATATTTTTCCATATATAATGTATCATGCTATTATTATGCACTGTGACATATGCAGAGGGATAGATGTATGGTATAAGGTTGTATCTTGTTTACATTATAATATGAGGTTGTATATTTGATGTTATAGTATCTTGTGAGAAGACCAGCACACCATTCTTTAATTTTTCTAGCCTATATGATAATATGAGAGATAGCACTGTGTTATTATTTACTCCAGAGCACTGTATGCTGGCAGGCAGAGGGCTCACCCGAGTCTTTCTGTTTCTTATATTTTAGCTTCTATATCAATGCATATTTTTCTAGTGCCCATGGTGAAGCAATAATGTTTTTGCAATGTTAATTCAGTTGAAAGAATTCCTCACTTGGTTCATTTTGCATATCAAATCATTTAGTCTGTATGTTATATGCACCTTATAGTGTGCTAGTATCCACAGTAGGCATTTGATTAAACTTTAAACTTGGGGATACTTGACTCTAAATGGCAGGGACACTTCTCTGAGAATGGAGATACTGAAAAGAAAACATTTGTACTGTACTTTTTTATTCTTTCCTCTGGCATACCAATAGTTGAGTCCATGAAGAGTTTTGAGTTAGTTAAAGTCAAGAAGTAAGCTTATTCAGAAGTCAATTCAAAATGGGCATTGTTCATTTTCAAGCATGGTGTTCATATGCAAAATACACAGCAGAAGCAAATCTTATCTTCCGTCTTCACTACAGTACAACACTGTTATAGTGCATAAGCACTAACGCACCAGATGTAGCTGCTTTATTTTCACCATTTATTTTCCACACAAGGTGACTGACTTTACAAGAAAACAGCACTATTTTTATTCATGTTAAGCATTGTACTATTTTATGTAGGTACAATAGCTGATGTGGTTAGTCTATATAGACATGTAGAGAACTCTTGCATTCTTGTAATCTGGTGTGTCTGATATTTTACGGTGCAGTATACTTTTTGTTGACTACAAGGCTGTCATGCTTGCCTCAAAGTTTTGAGACATGAAGCCACATTCTGCAAGCACTTTTTTTTTGTTGGAACTATCCCCCTACGTATAATTTGCTCATTTTACTTGTGTTCTTGTGAATTGCTTATAATGCTAATCATGTCAGGGGCATAGTCTTTGTAATAGACTCTGTATAGTGTCACGAAAGCTGCATTTAGTCTGTATGTTATATGCACCTTATAGTGTGCTAGTATCCACAGTAGGCATTTGATTAAACTTTAAACTTGGGGATACTTGACTCTAATTGGCAGGGACACTTCTCTGAGATTGGAGATACTGAAAAGAAAACATTTGTACAGTACTTTTTTATTCTTTCCTCTGGCATCCCAATAGTTGAGTCCATGAAGAGTTTTGAGTTAGTGAAAGTCAAGAAGTAAGCTTATTCAGAAGTCAATTCAAAATGGGCATTGTTCATTTTTAAGCACGGTGTTCATATGCAAAATACACAGCAGAAGCAAATCTTATCTTCCGTTTTCACTACAGTACAACACTGTTATAGTGCATAAGCACTAACGCACCAGATGTAGCTGCTTTATTTTCACCATTTATTTTCCACACAAGGTGACTGACTTTACAAGAAAACAGCACTATTTTTATTCATGTTAAGCATTGTACTATTTTGTGTAGGTACAATAGCTGATGTGGTTAGTCTATATAGACATGTAGAGAATTCTTGCATTCTTGTATTCTGGTGTGTCTGATATTTTACAGTGTAATATACTTTTTGTTGACTACAAGGCTGTCATGCTTGCCTCAAAGTTTTGAGACATGAAGCCACATTCTGCAAGCACTTTTTTTTTTTGTTGGAACTATCCCCCTACGTATAATTTGCTCATTTTACTTGTGTTCTTGTGAATTGCTTATAATGCTAATCATGTCAGGGGCACAGTCTTTGTAATAGACTCTGCATAGTGTCACGAAAGCTGCAGCTGGTACTCTTAGAGATTGGAAGAGGCAATCCAGAGACCTTGATTTAATGGTGGCTTGTTTTCTTGGTGGCACTTTTGGGGGTGGTGGTATACTTTGTAGTGCTATCAATTTCATGCTACTACTAACCATGTGTTGTTTGAAAGGAGAGCCACCAGGTTTCACTTTTCCATTAGTGAAAGTGGCAGATATGGCACTCCAGAATCTGCTGTGAATCATCTTGAATGTGAGTATAGTACTTGGTTGCACTTGTGAGTTCTTCTGTAGGACACTTAGGGCCAGTATTGTGCTCGATACATTCAGTGTCTTTTGCAGCCTTGGCTTTAAATTCCCATGCTGTAATATGTGTATTCACTGTTGCAGTGATGAAGGCATGGCTGGATTTCAGTTTCCATTCACAGCTACAATTGATTATTGTTCGCTTTAGCGGCAGGTAATGTGTGTGCATATAAGTGGGCAAGAGAGATATCCACATTTGCTTTTAAGAGAATTTCGACATGTTTCAGTGAGATATTTGTGTTAGACATGTCTTTTATTGTGCAAAGTATGCTATAGCTGATGCTGTAGCACAACGAGCTGGTCATGACAAGCACAGAAGTTAGTATGTACTTACTACAGTTTGTTTTAAAAGCATATTTACTGGCATCTCTCAAGCCTGTACTTGGTGCTGTTCATGGCATAATTAGCAAATTTATTGGGGTTGATTTTGTTTCGTTGAAAAATTTAAAGGTCACTTTATGTATGCCTGTGGGAATATGCAATGTAAAGCACCTGAAACTGAATGAGTGATCCCTTCCAACTTTGAAGAACAAAATCTACAGTTCTTTCGACACTAATGATCCTAACTGCAAATGCAGCTTCTAATAAGCTGTTAATTGCATATGCAAGCTTTAGCTGTGTTTCAAGAGAATTCTTGCATTCTTGTATTCTGGTGTGTCTGATATTTTACAGTGTAATATACTTTTTGTTGACTACAAGGCTGTCATGCTTGCCTCAAAGTTTTGAGACATGAAGCCACATTCTGCAAGCACTTTTTTTTTTGTTGGAACTATCCCCCTACGTATAATTTGCTCATTTTACTTGTGTTCTTGTGAATTGCTTATAATGCTAATCATGTCAGGGGCACAGTCTTTGTAATAGACTCTGCATAGTGTCACGAAAGCTGCAGCTGGTACTCTTAGAGATTGGAAGAGGCAATCCAGAGACCTTGATTTAATGGTGGCTGTTTTCTTGGTGGCACTTTTGGGGGTGGTGGTATACTTGTAGTGCTATCAATTTCATGCTACTACTAACCATGTGTTGTTTGAAAGGAGAGCCACCAGGTTTCACTTTTCCATTAGTGAAAGTGGCAGATATGGCACTCCAGAATCTGCTGTGAATCATCTTGAATGTGAGTATAGTACTTGGTTGCACTTGTGAGTTCTTCTGTAGGACACTTAGGGCCAGTATTGTGCTCGATACATTCAGTGTCTTTTGCAGCCTTGGCTTTAAATTCCCATGCTGTAATATGTGTATTCACTGTTGCAGTGATGAAGGCATGGCTGGATTTCAGTTTCCATTCACAGCTACAATTGATTATTGTTCGCTTTAGCGGCAGGTAATGTGTGTGCATATAAGTGGGCAAGAGAGATATCCACATTTGCTTTTAAGAGAATTTCGACATGTTTCAGTGAGATATTTGTGTTAGACATGTCTTTTATTGTGCAAAGTATGCTATAGCTGATGCTGTAGCACAACGAGCTGGTCATGACAAGCACAGAAGTTAGTATGTACTTACTACAGTTTGTTTTAAAAGCATATTTACTGGCATCTCTCAAGCCTGTACTTGGTGCTGTTCATGGCATAATTAGCAAATTTATTGGGGTTGATTTTGTTTCGTTGAAAAATTTAAAGGTCACTTTATGTATGCCTGTGGGAATATGCAATGTAAAGCACCTGAAACTGAATGAGTGATCCCTTCCAACTTTGAAGAACAAAATCTACAGTTCTTTCGACACTAATGATCCTAACTGCAAATGCAGCTTCTAATAAGCTGTTAATTGCATATGCAAGCTTTAGCTGTGTTTCAAGAGAATACTTGACTGTTAGGCACTTAGTTTATGTGTATGATGAGCATGATTAATATTGTTTTACATTCATAGGTTCTGATGCTATTTAAATTTTAATATACATGCATATATGAAGTCACACTTTCTATAAGGCTATTAGCAATTTATCAGGAATTCTTTGCGTGTTAATTGTGGTATATCATGACTGTGGAAATGTGCTGCATTTGTATGTAATGTGTCAGGTAAAGGTGTCATGTGCACAAGCTTTCTGTTGCTTTATAGCCCTTCTGTGAATATTTGTCAACTATTTGTAACTGTGATGGTATCCTTGGGATACCCACAGATCTATTTTTTAGTTGTTCACCCAATTGGGGCCACTTAACAGCAGTCTTGCAGTAATTTACTGCCACAAATTACTCATTTCTCAGAAATTAGGAAATTTGGTATCAACACGAAAGGTTAGTTTTCTTGGTCTACTTCTTGTCAACTTGTTATAAAGTTTTTTTGCTTGCTCCAACATTTTATTTGTCCTTATTCTTCTGTTATTGACACTGTTCCAGCTTGTTCCAAGAAACAAAATTAATACTGTTTTCCATATCTTTTTTTTTTAGCATCTAAAGTTTTTGTGTTGTACAGAGAGAGCCAGCTTGTTTTAGAGGCACTTTATATGCAACACAACCACCTTTGTCAATGCACTGTGCCAGTTGAATGATCCATTTTAACATTCATAGTTTATTTTTATTTGAAAAAAAAAAGTTAATATGGGATATGACAGGAACATTCAAAACAAATTATATAGCTGGTCTTTGTGAGTGCAGACACGATTCTTGACAATAGTTCCTAAGCTACGTGTGAAAGTGTGGCTGATTTTGTGCTGCTTGGTACACTTTAGTTGTGGAAAAATTTAGCAAGGGAGTAAGCTCAGCCACCAGAAAACACTAATCAGTGGAAAAGCAAATGCCACGGTTGCAATAGGAATAGCTTTGTAAGAGCAAGAGGTGTGAATCTAATTTGAGTAAAATAATCAACCCTTTACTGTAATGACATTTTAGTTTAGTTCTTCTTTTTCTTTAGCAACATAAGTACACTGTTGAACATGCAAAAGTAAAGGAGCTTGCTAATATTGGCATCTTTATAGGATTATTTGATATTCTGAAAATGCTTGGCAGCCATGGTACACCATTTTCCCCTCATGACGTGCTGTCATTAGGCGCGGTCAGGAGATAGTAATTATAGAGCAGGGTAAATTATCACTATATATTCTGCTCTTAGTCTTTTTACATACAGAGCATAGATATAATGCAAATATGAAGACGAGAAAAAAGTGCTGCAGAGCTCCTTAAACTGCATTTAACTGTTTATACGTAAGGTATCTCGGTCCACTTGCTGGAAAAAGAAAAACTCTCACTTGTCTTGGATATTTCACTTTACAGCATACTTTTGTTGCTCTTTCACCTACTTGTTATATCTCATTCAAAGCAAACCTGTGGAGATTTTTCATAAGCTAAGCAAAAAGAAAAAAAAAAGAAGGAAAAATCTTACCTTACACAGTCGTGTAGAGCCTAATAATGCACTCCAAGCACATGGGCACTTTCTCTTTACTTCTCGTCATCTGCTACTGTTTGCATGTAGTCAGTATTTGACTCAATTGCGGCTATTAACATGGTCACCAAATACACACGTGTATATTAGTGGAATGTAGTTCTGTAGTGTTTTAGAGCATTGCCTGCAGAGCTGCTGCCGATGCTAAGTTGTCAGTGCTACCCGAGATGCTTAACTACACCTCAATGCATTTTGAGCTTCATTGAATTTTCGGCTGTTCCTGCATATATATATAAAAAAAGCATAAACATTTCTTGCCTCATCCAAGTGTTCTACAGGTGGATACAGGTTTATTGTGTGCTAGAAAGGAGCACAAATTAAAGTAGAAGTTCAGAGCTTTGAATGCATCCAGAACCACACAACAAACTCACCATTTCATTGATTTAGCATTCAGTAAGTAATTTGTGTGAATCAATCCACTTTTGTTGTCAAGTGGTTGACAGGCAGACAGGTATGGCTAAAAAAAGACTGAGTAGTGTATGTAACAAGGCAAAAATTAAGCTATTTTGTGTGAGTAATTTGTAACATTGATAATCACAGGCTGTTCATATAGATGCGATTCCTGCTTTCGGGCTTTTTCTGTAACCATCAGCAGTTGCCATCATTTTTGTTGCTTAATTTGTTCCACAATGGTGGAACCAGTCAAGTTAATCTGTTTTCAGTTCTTTGGACCTTTTTGTTATTGAGCTAGCTTGACTTGTGTCAGAGGATTGTTGAAAGGTTGAGATCCAATTATGAAGGATAAAAAATTGTTGCACTAAGGTGAACGAATGGCACATTCTTCATTGTATTCAGGCATCATGGTCACAACCACATTATTAATTAGGCCATAGTGAATCGAATCAGCAGTGTTTTGGTGATGTTAGTGGCCTTATTGTTAATACTGTCAAAAGTAATGAGAAGGAAAAATAAATAAAAAGGCATTTTCATTGGAGGGGTGTTTATTATCCAGCTTTTTTATAGGAGTGTTCCTGAGAAGAAACCTTGCAGTAGCCTGTCAAGTTTATGCACATTGTCATCAGTATGTAACAGCTGTGTTGTGGATTGAAACAATGAAAATCTACATCACTCGACATTGAAAAAGATGAAACTGACTAGTAAGATGCCTTTGTACCTTGGCGTTTCTTGCAAGTGATTTCACTTTACCACCAATGTATG